CTGTAGTTTAATTAAAACGTTTTCTTGGTGTTAGCTTTTTTCAGAATATGTCTTGGTCTTTTTTCCCCCATTTATTTGAAAGACCTGTGCAATTACCTTGTGAATGTTACCGGCTGTATAGTATGAAAGTGAAATGTTCAGTAGCTGATTACTTTCCCCCTGAGTTAAAAGGTGGAAATGCCAGTTCAGCACCAGCTGTCCCTAAAATGAATGCTCTTAAGAGGTAGCACTTTGAGGTTGTGGGTACCTCCTGCTCTCAACCCAGATGCCCTATTTTACTGACTAAGGAAAAGATCCAAGAGTTTTTTCTTATAAGTGTTTAATGGTTTTTTTGGTTTTAATTGTTATGTGATCCATCACAATCCAAAGCCAACAGGTCTAATCCATCTTCAAATTCACTGTTTGTACACGAGAAGCTGAAGTGGTCTGAGTCATAGTTGGCTTGCCAAGTTGCTAATCAGTATTGACATTGTCCCAAAACAGCCTGTAGGTATAATTCAGAGACTGTCCTTTGCAAAGGAGATGACCAGCATTTCAACAGTATGTCTTCCTGGGAGGGCAGATTCTGCTATATCTTCCTTGTCTGCACCAAAAGACTCCAGAGGAATGTGAACACATTTCATGTCCCACTTGTAGAGCAAAGCTTCAAGTGACCAGTCAGCACTAAAAAATAAATTTTTTTTAAAACTAAGCTTTTCCTGTTTTGCTTTAGTTACATTCTCATTTTATCCTTAAACTAGACGCTGAATGAGGAGTAAGGCTGAAGTTAACTTTAAAAAAAGTTGAGTGAACCAGGATTATTCAGTCTTACCTTCTTACCTGGTAAGTAGACCACAATTGGACCTTGGGGTTCTTTTGCATCAAAAGGTAAACTGTAGTTAAAACGTCTTCAAAGTCTGGGAAGAAAAGACTTCTTAATAGATTGTAATTCCATTGCATCCCTGGCTAAATTTACTACCAAGAAGAGTAAAAGTTTACCTTCTGGTTCAAAGAATACATCCGATGCAAGAATAATATCTTGCGGTGGTAGAGCCAGAAGATCCTGAGATACATGACCCCACGTGATTCCTACAACATGCACCTGTGGCAGGTCGTTCATTTGGCAGCTTTGCCGGCAGATTTCTAGACAGTGAGGCAGCTCTGAACTGTCTGACAGTGTTACTTCAGCACCACATTTTGCAGCCATAATTCCTGGAAGGCTCACTCCAGCTCCAATCTAACAAGTTTAAAGGTTTTGCTTAGAACTGCAAAGAATTGACCTTGCTTGGCATATTGTTTCCCATTTCATCCTTGCATTGATCTTTTAGTACAAGGTCTTATGTATAAGGATAGTGAGCTTGCCATGCCTATAAAACATGCTTTACTATGCGGAGCTTACTTTGTCTTGACAAGTTACTTAACTCATTAAAAACTTAAGTGGGTCAAAGGTCAACTACAGTCCCTTTTAGTATTAAAGGGCCCTCAGTTCTGCAACTGGCAGTTACCCCTTAAACAAGTGGTGGAAATGTGAGGGTCTATAATTACAGTTGACATGAAGTGTGGTTGGCTGGATCCCTGGATGTGAACTCAAGATAGGGCCTGCTAAAGTTTCACATGGATTTTTGACTGCAGAGGGTGGGTGCCCCAACCCCTGAGCTGTTAAAAGATCAATGATACATTGCTTCCAAACAGAATGTGTATCTTGAGCAGTTCCATTGCTTAGTAAGTCCAGGAGTAGTTTCGGGTCACTTACTTCCTTCAGTCATTCTCAGTTCTCATGATCTATATATAAAGGAGTTCCTAGTTATTTATGACACCAGGGCTCTAGAAGCTCAATTGAGTGACTTGGATACACAACCAGTCATTCAGTTGTTGCTACCAATTTTAAATAGCATTCACATGGCTAAAACCTGATGGGTCTGCAACATAGCTCTCCAAGAGGGTTTTCCAGCTGGGTCTTGAGAGTGGCAAGGCACTTGTGAACATACTAAGGAATAATGCTAAGGAATGCCTTCATAAATGTTATTGTTCATATTGATTAACGCTTCTCCTGTTTGAGGATGGGCAGTGACTCGACTTTTGCCAGTGGCTAACAATTATCACTACTGTGGGCCAGAAGTATGTGCCAAATGCCTTCCCTATCCATTTCATTTACATGGTTTTACAAAAGTTAACTTTCTGGTTTGTCTTTAGCCTTGGGGGTTAAGCATAGTACCATTTCTACAAATGACAAAAGTTTATTTCTCTAAACCTTCAGTAGTCTCAAGCCAGGTGGAATGGTAAGAAAGACGTAAGACACATTTTATAGCTACTCTCAAGATTTCCAGAAATGAAAAGGGCCGTTTTGTGAGAAAGACTGCAAGTGGTATGGTAGAGCCTGGATGACCCTGATGGGACACCCTATGCCAAGATTTCATAACTAAAATTAGTTACGGGCTTCACTTAGAATGGGGTCAGCAAACTGTAAAAGGCTAGACAGTAAATATTTTAGTGTTTGTGGACCACATATGGTCTCTGGTGCATACTTTAAAAAAAAATTTTACATTTAAAGGTGTAAAAAGCATTCTTAGCTCACCTGCCTTACAAGATGGCCAAATCATCCAAATATCTAACAAAAGCTAAAAACAAGCATGTGGACTTAAATTGGAACATAACCTAGGATTTTCCCAAACATCAAGGGACTTGTACCTCTAAGACAGCCTTGCCTGGCAGAGATCCTCTGTGAAACCATAGGTACTGGGCCAGGACCACAGCACAGGGCCAAACATACATTCCATATTGAAGATGCAGGACCTGAAAAAAATTTTGTAGGCCATAAGTAACTGACACATCAGAAGTCGGTATATTTACACAGCAATTACTGAGTGCCTGGCACTGGCATCCATTGCAAAAACTGTTCCCTGCTCTCCAGTTCACATCCAGTGGGGGGATATAAAACTAATACCATGTGATAAGCATTCTTGATACACTCATTTATTCAACAAGCATTTATCCAGGGCCTGAGTGGCTTAGTGACTATTCTAGGCTGAGGAAGTACCTCATGGGATATAAAATGTATATACAGCTCCTACTAGAGAGAGACAGGCAATGAGGAAGCAAATACATATTTCTGGTTGGTGATGATGCTACAAGCACAATACAACTGGGTGATGTGAGAGTGATGGGGGTGGGCAGTGACCACAAGGTGGCTGCTCTAGACAGGGAGAGGGTAATTCAGGCAAAGGCCCTGAAGCAGGAACTGAAAGGCTTCTGCCTGGACACAGAGAGCCCTGGCAGCGTGGGTCTGAGGGCTGGAGGCACGGTTGTATAGTACAAGCATAGTTGAGAGGGAAGGCAGAGACCAGATTTGTGAGGTTACATATGCCACAGGAAGTTTAGTTTTTATTTAAGTGCAATAAGAAGACATTGGACTCACAGACATAGAAAACAAACTTATGGTTACCAGGAAGGGAAGGGGGTGGGAAAGGATAAACTGGGAGTTTGAGATTTGCAGATGCTAATATATATAAAATAGATAAACAACAAGTTCATACTGTATAGCACAGGGAACTATATTTGATATCTTGTAGTAACTTACAGTGAAAAAGAATATGAAAACAAATATATGTATGTTCATGTATGACTGAAGCATAATGCTGTACACCGGAAATTGACACAACATTGTAAACTAACTATACTTAAAAAATATATACAAAAAAAGATATTAGAGTTATAAGCACAGGCAACATATGATAAGGAAGAACAGTGTGGTCCTAGAATGACACCCTAGAAGAGGTTTGAGTAGAGCTTGAATCCTGGAGTTAGGAAGGCAGGCAATTCACAAAGCCTCTGGGAGGGCATTGAATTGTGAGAGCATTGTATTTAGGGAGACAAGATAACATAGCTCACAACTCTGGAATGAGCCTACTTGAATGAGTTCAAACTTGAGATGTGTAATGTACTAGCTGTGTACTAGACCTCACTCATTATTTAAACTTGTCTGTGCTTCAGTTTCCTCAACTGCAAAATACTGTCTCATAGAGTGATTAGGAAGACTCAATGCCAAATACTTAATACAGTGCCGGGCACAAATTAAGTATACAAAGTTAGCAATTATTAAACTGCAAAACTGCAAGTCTTTGTTTTCTAGAGCAAACATCAATGGTAAAGGAACTGAAAGTCTGAGCTGAATTATTCACTGCACTCAACAAAAATATTAGTGCCTAAAATATGCTAGACGTGATCAAGAGACAAAAATGCCTACCCTGGTGAATTTTACCCAGGAGTACAACGAAATACTTCTGACTAGAGGAATGAGTTATGCAGATTTGGGTATAAAAGGGGGGGGGGTGCTCTGTTATCACAGGGTGTATCTTCACCCACCCCTTAAATTTAGGAAGAAATCCAAAGGGGTATTTCAACGTGAAGGCGTTTAGAAACTGCCAGAAACGGGTTCCATTTGAGCCTTCAACTCCTTTTAAGCTGTTTCTCATATTTATAAGCTGTTTCTCATATTTAAACTGTCAATGCCAATGCCTACCTCACAAGCTCCTGTGAAAATCAAAATACTGCAACGTGAAAGTGCTCTGAAAAACCGGACGTATATAAGGTGTAACTGCTGTTGAGAATTCAGGGGCAGCCATGAACTGAAAGGAAGGAATGCCAACTCAAGAAACTATTTGGGTAGTGAGGGTTGGAACCCCTGGTCCCAGATAAATCTGAATTATTAAGCCCTTGGGCCAGATCAAAGAAAATACTAGGTGTCAAGAATGCCACTTTTCTGGTGGGAAATAGTATGAAGAGGCCCCCTTCCTCGCAGGGCCCTCACATTTCTTTCTGAAAGGTATTTACTCTTCCAAAGGGCTTCACACCAAATCTTTACGGCCTACTCTAAGGCAGAAAGCCGCGGGGCCCCCTCCCTATAGCCCCAGGTCGGCTGAGAACGCTCCTGCCCTGAGATGCCACCGCAAAGGACGGGAGGCGCTTCCCGGCGGGTGCCGCTTAACGCACCTGCGGGACGCGGACCTCCAATATGGCCCCCT